GAAGAATCACTGATGAGCATATTCTGTTTCTCTCCAGTAGCTTGGAGTTCTTCTCTCCCAGTTTATATAACCTGGCATTGCTCTACCAAAGCAGGTCTGGAAAATGAACCAGTTGCCTAGTAGAAGCATCTTCACCAAATGCAAAATCCACATGTCAAAATTCCAAAAATATTTGGCATCTGTGTCGATACATTTTTCAGTGTTGGACATTCTTCCTTGTTTCCATGTTTCTTCTGAACTGCACTTTGGCTATCAGAGAGCAATTCTTAGAAAAATTGGTTTCTAATTGGTTTCACGATTATTTTATGGAGCCTGATAAATGCAGATGTTTTAGGTTAGTTTGTATTATCAGAAGAAACTGAGAAGTTTTAATGTTTATTTTCCAAAATTATGGGTGTTTGTGTCAGGTCCATTAATCTGGCCTAAGTAATTTGAGAATATGGTCCTTCCTTCCCTTTCTTCTTCTTTTAAGTTGTGCTTAAGAAATTTTTATATTAAATTGGAACCATGCTCTCCTCAAATTATTTTACAGGTGTGGTTTGAGGGACATCTTTTGAACAGATTTCTTCACCACCATGTTTTTGTAGGAAAAGGTCCCTCTTAGACGGTTTTAGTTCCTAGATGGATTTGTGGATTGAGCAATGAACATCTTGCTCGTAGAGCACAATAATTTCTACTGGTATTGCTGTGAGGAAAAGACGGTGTTTGTCTCTCGTCATGCACATTGGACTTGTCTAAAATATCCTTTTCCTCCTAACCATTAAGGTTGTGCTTGAAACTATCCTTTATATTCTAACATGTTATGTCTTTGTTTCACAGCTATATAAGAATCCATGCAAAGTGAATCAATGTGGAGGGAGATTCTCTTGGGCTCCGTGGTATATTTGTGTGTGTGTTCTGTTGCGTTACATGACTCTTGGCTATTTCTGAGGTTTATGATTAAAGGCAGCATTCTAATATGGGGTTTCCCAAGGCTACCTCGCTCATCTCTGTGCTCCACATCTGG